TCTCTCTCTCTCTCTCTCTCTCTCTCTCTCTCTCTCTCTCATAGCTAGTAATTTCAGGCTCGAGATATTCGGCGAGCGCGAGTTATACGAATCTGGCGCGCGATGTTGCTTAAGATAACTCGGAGTTAGTGCTTCCGTACTGAAGCAGTTGCCGAAGCTGCGCTGGCTGACCCGTAATTAAGCGCATCCCTTGGTCATCCGGGAGGAATGTAGGATGGCAATCCGCGGTTCCGTTCCATCTCTGTCAGCGAGTCACCACGAAGTGTGGCGTATCAAAGATCGCCGAGATAATTAACTTCCACACCTTGCAGTGTGTCATCCGGTGTGTCTCTCAGTATCCTCTCGAATTTGACATATCCCGTCGAGCGATTAAATTAAGCGTTCGATCAAATTCCCTTAGAGCCCGTCGCACCGAGCGAATTGAGAGTTTCCATTCGCACAAGTATGTCTAAAAGTCTCATCCCTATCCATTCAAATCGGAAAGGCCGCGTGATTGATCGAGCTGAAGTCTCCCGAGGAGATACAGATATCGCGTCCTCCTTAATTGCCGAATAAAGGAGCCCGCTCCGCTGCCGTCGCCGCCGTCGCTGTTGTCTCACTCTCGAAGAAAACTTGCTGACGCTGAGACAATATGTGCACGACACATTCAATTATTCAACGCTGACACCATTAATCGTTCGGCTCGTTCTCCGCCGGATTCTTTCCCTCTTACGTCCTCAGCGCTATCCGTCTCCGGCGTACCGCCGTGCGCCCGCGCTCCCGCGTCTCTCGACCGTTCCGTCTCCCGCATCCTCTCATCCACCTAAGCTCTTCCTCTACTACGGGTAGCACGAGTGATTAAGTTATAAACTTGGCAAGACGTCCGTTTGAGCGCGGAAGGGGCTTACTTCATTTATGTAATTTATAGTACTCTGCCAGTCTAGCTAACTCCGCGAAGCCCAAGCACTCCCCTAACACAAAGGCCATGTCCTGACACCGGTAACATTTAACTACCCAGCCTCGTCCTTCTGCCCCATCACTTCGACGGTTCTCCCCTACGGAGACGGCGGCGTGGACTACACGCTGACATTCTCGATAGCGGTCCTTTCGGGTGTGTCGCGCGGGGTATTAAGAAATCATCTTCCTTTATGAGACATCGAGGGGTTATGATTCATCTCCTTCGCGAGGGGCAGCGGGATTATTCGCGGGATAATATTCCGAGGTGAGCAGGTTCGCTCTTTCTCTCCCTCTTTCTCGCTCGAGATGTTTCTAATAAAATGAAACGTTTCGTGTCCTTAATCGTTTCGACATGGAGGCTCTTTTCGTCGTTAAGAGTTCTTCACTTCCTCCACGGTGTCGAGTACGACGAAAAATGACCGCAGGGTCGGGCGAATGTTGTGTGTGTGTGTGTGTGGGGGAGCATAGTCAGCGATCCACGAGAATCCCGATAAATTGCCAATGCCAGTCCTCTTCCCCCACGGTCAAACTCGAATTTTCATAAGAGAATTTATCCCCGCGACCGGACCGTAGTCTTTCTGCGAAATTCCATTTTCGCGCTGGTGGCCGACGAACAACGGAACGTAACCGACCGATCGACTATCCAAGCAAGTAAGCAAGCAAGCAAGCAACCGACCGACCCAACCAACCAATCAACCAACCAACCAACCAACCAACCAACCGACCGACCGACCGACCGACCGACCGACCGACCGACCTCTCGTAGGGTTGAACGGCGCGAGGGAAAAATGCGTGCTCAGCTGGCCGAGCCCTCGCTGGACGCCAGATGCGCTCATTTCAATAAAAAACACACCTCGAGATATCCCTCTTGCCGGCTCCCGAGGCTCATCCTTTCGACCCCCGAGAGCTCCTTAAACGATCCATAAGCTGCTCCGACGGCGCGGAATTACCATCGGCAACCTTCTCGCCGCAGGATCGCAGCGCGTCATTCCATCGTGCGAATGCAGAGCGAATGGGAGACCGAGGGTGGATGGGGATACCTTACAGTTTCATAAAAGCCGTGCGAATGTACGGCCGAATGCAACGGGGAAAAACGATCATTCACCACCCCGCGAACCGGTCGCTCCAATGTATTACGCGAGATTGGCGAACTGACAGCCAGCCCGCGCCTCTCATTATCATAAATATCGCTGTGAGATGTGCCGTGTTCGATTAGAACTGCCGCCGGGCTCGCGCTGATTAATAATATTCATAGTATTTAACGACAGTTAATTCGTGCTTGTGTGTACGTGTGTATGCGAGTGCGCGCGAAGTACATATTTCACACGGGGATTTTGGGGAAGAAAAATGGCCGCCGCAGAGGCGCATCGTTTGTACCGAGAGCGGGTTAATTATTTATGTGGAACAATGAGCAAACGCGACGTGAGTTTGAGCGGGATTAAAAATCCGAGTGCCGCAATAGATAGTACTTCAGGATCGCACATTACGCGTCGGGCAAATATGTACAGCTGCAGGGGAGGCGAAATTGCATCGATACGAGCATGTAGCGCAGGCAGAACGAAATTTTTATCCTTCCTGCAATCCCACCGCATACCGCGTGAAGGAATCGCAGGGTGGCGGGCGACCACGGAAAGAATGTTCTCTGTCCTTTTCTCTGCCGACTTCCTTTTTACTTCGCGCTGCACCAAGGCGCGCCATTCCTCTTCGCCCCTTCGGCACTCGCCTCGACCTCTTGTTTTCTTCCTATACCGCTTATTCTCCCTGCGATTTTCGAGTATAATGCGACCTCGTCATTGTGAGCGAGCGAGCGAGCGCGTGTTAACGTTTAAAAGCCGCGCGCGGCGGCCGGCGAGCGCGTTTCAGAATTTTATCGTGCATTGAGAATAAAGGTAAAAGGTTTCTTTCAAAAGGCACGCCGGCGGAACGATTTAAAACTTGTAAATGGATACGAGTTGGAACCGCCGCGCGCCCCTCCGTCCCTTCGTCTTCGCTCACCATGCGATCGCACAACCACATCACCCTCCCGTTCCTCCGTTCGCCGTCTTCGCTATCCCGAGCCGGAGCACATAAAACTTCCGCGAACTTTTGTTTGTTTCCCGCGATGTATTTACGACGCGCGGAATCTCGGTTGATCGATACCGAAAGAGCTGCCAGCGGAATGAAGTGACTACTTTATTTTTAATGTCGTCGAACTCTTTCTCTCTCTCTCTCTTTCCCTCCCTCTCTTTGATGGCCGGTTTTACGAGCAGTGTTACCCCGACGGTAACGATAACGGTAACTTCTGCGTCAATTTAACATTGTCGTGCTCGCGTCACTTCCTCGCGCTACGACTCGTTGTGTCGCATCGTTAAAATCTTGCGGTTAATTCCCCTCGGCGTATATCGTATTTCGCCTTTTTGTTTTTCGCAGTCACGCTGCGCGATTGTTGCGCCACAAGGCGTGAAGTACGTCGCGTTTGTGACGTCATTCGCGTGTCAGGGTCATTCGATGAGAGTTGCGCACCGGCGATAACGATATCACGTCGGCACATA